CAGACCAGCAACGAAGTGTTTTCTTACTCATTTTCTACCCGGCACAAATTTTGAGATCACCCTATAGTAGTGTAGTAACTACTCTAGATGCTTATGCAGAGAGCTTGGTGTTGTACAAAGGAAACGACGGTCAGAATTTGACATCATCATATCCTCCCTGTGACAAGAAGGTTATGGCGTGGCCAACTATGGAAGATCATTGGAAAGATTTATGGATGTGAACTTTACAAATATTTCCACTTTCATCAGATTTTACAACATATTCAAATGTTTTGTGATAGTAATTTTCTACATAATTTGTTTGTCTTTTGTATTCAGCTACTCCCTCTGTCCCAAAATAACGGACACATTGGACTTTTTTTCACTATTCATATGTTCACTTTGATTATAGTTTTTTACAAACGAAATAAAAATAAACTTTGTCATAAAATATATTGTTTAAGAGATATCGACCTAAAGTTTCATAATATAATTTTTTTTTTTATAATATTTATTAATGTTCAACTATATATAAATAAGATCAATCGGCATGCGTTCAAAGTTTGAATGTGTCAATTATTTCGAGACAGAGATGGTTTAGAAAAGCATAAAGATCAAACTAGCTAACTCTCACTTGATTCTCCCCAGCTATCGGTTCCTGGCCTGTTAGTACTAACAACTTGTTAATTAGAATCTGTGACTCTGATATCAATATGTTACCCATATGCCATCTAAGTATGCAATTTCCATCTGAGTATGCAATTCTACGACATATCAATCATTGCTGAAAATTCTATTTACTACGTAGTAACTTAATTTAATTTGTATTTAATAGCCAATTTTATTGAGCCTCCTTTATCTAGTTGGTGGAGTACTGAATTCTGAGCATATGGCAAGCGGCGTACAATTCATTTGCTTAATAGGTAGGAGATCGAGGAAGATATGGATTACTATACCTTGGTTGCCCTTGATCATCAAATTAGACCAATTTGACAATCATTAAGTGACAAATAATGGCTTTTTTTTTTTTTTTTAGATATTATTAAATAAAATTTTATACCATACATTTACATTTAGCATAGATAGCTCTAAAGAGGTTATTGTTACAAATACATTTAACATTTTAGCACAATAACAACTAAGCTTAAAAATGGACCTATAATCCTATATGATCATGAACCATGGAGTATATGAGTAAGACTTATCTAAGGCTATATATTTGTTTAATTAACTTCAACAATGGCCCACATAGTATTTAAATAAATATTCTATTAAAGGGTTTAAATATATATTCATCATATTAACCTTTTTTTACTTTTTAATAATATATAGAAAGACTCAAAGTTGTGCATTAACATGTCTGTCAGATTGCCAGTTAAAGTGTTGTAATTATTTAAAAAAAAAAAAAAAGAGTATGATTTATACACGGTAATTGACTTAACATTTTTATTATTTGATAGCTGATGGATTAAGATTCGATATTATTGTGGAATATTGATGTAATTAATATTATCATTATTTTTTTGGGATGTGAGTGAGATGTTTCCCTTTTAATGTCTTTATCAAAAGTATCAAATAAAGTGATCTATGAGAGATCGAGACTCTAGTTTTTAAGTGCAACAAGTTGTTTGTATAGAGGTTAGTTTAAAGTTAGACTTAAGTTTGTTACGAGTAAAATAAATAAATAAGTGGGGTTTGTGGTAGAACTGTTAGTTTATGTATAGTAGTCATCTCTTGAAGGTGTCTCACGGTCACAATTAGAAGAAGTTTGACTTCATATAAATGTTAATGTCCAATATTAAGGGCTTGTTTAGTTCATCTTATTTTTGTTTATCTGAACTTATCTGATCTGGTCGTATAATATGATATGATCTAGTCTGATCTGAATGTCAGATTTGACCAAACTTTGACCTTAAATATATGAAATCTAATATATCAAGTGGGGTCTTGTTAGATCCGTAATAATGTGTATTTTTATTAATATGTGATTTTCATAATTTTTTTCATCACGAAATTAAAGATATTTAGCGATAAAAACTGCACATAAAACGATGAGATCTGAATTTATTTTTTCTGGTCCGATCTGAACTTATTTTTTCTAAAATAAGTAAAAATAAGTTGAACAAAACAAGGCCTAAGACTATCTTCTATATGTGTCTAACGATCACAATTAGAAGTTTGAGTTCAACATGACCAGTACCAACAATAGAATCTAGCAAATTATTACATTCACAACCAAAAGAAGTAGATGCAAATAAAATACATAGATTCACGTCCCAACTATGGCTTCGGCGGTACCAATCTATTCATAATCTCAGTTTCGAGTGACCCTGAACATCGTAACATTGCCCGATACACACTCTACTCTAAGAGTAAGATGTGAACAAATCATGCTCAAGGAAGAACCTGAACAAATAAAAAAGAAGGGAGTATAATAAGGATCCTAATCTGATTGTACAATAATTGAACTGTTGAACTAGATTGGATGAAACCCAAGTTAATTGAACTTACTCATAGTGTTGAAATTAAAGGCATCGATGATGTCACCATTTTCCATATTTAGTTCATTGGCTATATGATTCCCATCCAATATTAAACCATTGAGCCCTGTTCTTGAGATCCACTTCTTCAACGTATCCCCTTCTTCTTTCTGATCATCACTTTTCGAATTCGACCATTTCACCACCTTCACCCCTATTTTCTTGGTTTTCTTTGTGTTTTACTGAACATTCCTTCTGTTCTTCTTCCGACGTAAGATCAATCGGAACATCTGGCCTGTAACGCCGTTTCATTGTTGTCTGCATGCCCAATGTTACAATTATAATATCTCTAATTGTGTTTTTATAAAAATGATACGAGTACATAATACATTACTGTTCCAAAAAATTAATATTGAGAAAAATTGAACATGGCTACTATATTGCTTTCCATTACATATGAACAAATCACAAATGATTCTCAAAATAAAATTTGTAAACAGTGTCAAAAATTCAAAGTGTAAACATAAATACGAAACTTGCATTGGAGGGAGTAATTCATACTCTGTTATAAGAACTTAAATATGTATATGTAGATCCAACTCGATCATGAATTCAAAATCATGATTATTATTTAAACTAAAACATGTACATTCATTCACCATGTAGAGCTAATTGAACACGTAATTACGGATCATACGACATGTAGAATGCAGATCTACAATAGAAGGGAGAGAGAAAACGGAATTTACCTCCCTAAAAAAAAAAATTAACCGAGGAATAGAGAAAGGAAAACTAAAGGAAGGAGGAGAAAGTGAAGAGGTAGTTAGGGTTTTAAAAATATTTTAATTTTTATTGAAAAAAACATAATCTATCTTTAACGGGTTATGGGGTCGCGACGGGATAGGGTGGGGGAATGGGAGGGGTCGCCGACGGCCGGCGCGCCTTCCGGTGCTAGCCCCGGCGGCAGGAGGTGGTGATGGCTAGGGTTTGGGGTGGGCAGGGGGCTCGACGGCAGGGAGGAGTTGGTGGCTGGCCACCTCTGAGTTCCTTTTTTTCAATTTTTTTGTTGTTTTATTTTTTAATTCTTTTTGTAGAACGCTAAACGTCGCCGTCGAATCTCTAACTAACGCCCGCAAAATAACCTAAAATGACGTACGTAGCCTTGTTATAAAAATATTATAAAATAATTATTTTTACATGAACTTAACACTTTTACCCTACATAAATTTTTTTGCCATTCTCTATAGTGCTCACACCGGCCACTAACGATTGCGTTGAACCACCAATCACTATAATTTTCAAAATCAAACAAATAATTTAAATTTTGCAAAACCTAATTCGTCGGATAACATGGAAGATAACGAAAGGCCGAAAACACCACCTACGTTGGTCGCCGGAGACTCGTCGGACCGTACGGAATCGGTACAATTTATTTAATTTTTTTTCGAAATTCCGATTATTTAATTTTCTGTTTTTCGAAATTTCCAGGCAAACACCCAAAAATTTTGAAAAACCTAGACTGAAACGTCTAGTTTTTTCGGATACCCTAGGGTAGTTCAAAAAAACTAGGCGTTTCAGCCTAGGTTTTTCGAAATTTCTGGGCGTTTGCCTGAAAATTTCGAAAACAGAAAATTTTGAATTTTAATTCTTAAAAAAACACGTTGACGACTGATATTTATCAATTCCGATTGTTTTACTTTGAAAGATGACCAATTCCGATTGTAAAGTATGTTGTTTGTATTTGGATGAATTGTTCATATATAAGGCATCGAATTTGTTTAGGAGGGTTGTATTGTTCTATCAATCTTAATATGTTATTGTTTGTATTGTTCATAAGTATGTTGTTCAAAAAATTATAATTATATACTACGAATTTGTTGAAGGTCGTTTTGAATTACTCTACTTAATTAATTTCTCTAGTTATAAAATTCTCAATCGTTTATAAGTGAGGGATCACACCTTTTAGTTGTTATTATAATTAGTTGTGTATTGTTAGAATTATTATTATTAATTGTACGATGTTAGATTATTATTATTAGTTGTGTTTTTGTTGTTTGTCAACTTTTAATACTTTGTAGATTGAGACGTGGTGTTGGGTGGGACGTGGTGGTGGCAGTGGTGGTGAGCGGGACGTGGTGGTGGGTGTGGTGGGTGGTAAAAGGATGTGGTGGTGGGTGGTAAAAGGATGTGGTGGTGGGTGTGGTAAAAGAGGAGGCGGTAGTGGGTGGTTAAAAGAGGAATTGGTGGTGGGTGGTTAAAAGAGGAGGTGGTGGTAGTGGTGGGTGGTAAAAGGATGTGGTGGTGGTGTTGGTGTAGAGAGAGAATTGTTTTTAAGAGGGAGAAGAGGGAGTGAGGGTTTTGGGAGGTAAATTGTGTTTGGGGGGTAAATTCTTTTATTTTATATAAGGGTAAATTTGTAAAATAAATTTTATTTGCGGGTGTTAGTCGGAGATTCGAGGGCGGTATTTAATTTTTTTTATTATTATTTTTTTATTTAGAAACAGACCAATCAGAAGGTGACACGTGGCAAGTGGTGGGGTCAACTAATGGATGTCAGTCATTAATGGCACTCGGTGAATGTTTGTAAAATCTCGGTGGCATTTGGTGAATTTTGAAAAGGTTCATGACATTTGGTAAATTATGCAATTGCTCAGTGGCATTTCATGAAATAACCGGTTTTTTTTTAATTTTGTGAGTTGTTGATTAAATTCATGTGAATTCGTTTATATTTTGGAGAAAAAAAGCCAAAAGCAAAAAAGAATTCTAGAAATAGAGGGTGGAAAAAAGATATCAATTTTGTTGATGGTGATAAAATTAAAGCAAAAACAAAATTAAAAAAATAAAAAATAAATAAAAAAGGGCTAATGACATGTTTTTTCTGCTAAGACGTTGTAATTAGCCTTTAAACCAGCTAAACAAACCATAAATCTTATCAGGGCTAATGACATGTTTTTTCTGCTAAGACGTTGTAATTGATTAAACAAACTTTAACAAACATACATACAACGTAGGCTATCAATTACATCACCATCTTTAAGATGCGCCTCCTTAACTGTTTCTGTATCTTCAAGTCGGCGACCACCGAAAACAAAATGAATATCTCTACGCCCCGAATTTGAATCATACGGTCTCAATCTATCCATCATCTGACCCAAACGAGTGCTTTGAGTGACAGTGAACCGCGTTTCATTGCCCGACACACATTTCACTATAAGAGTAAGACTTGAGCCAATTGTGCTCAAGGAAGAACCTGAACACAAGGAAGATTATATTCAGAGTCCTTTCCCTAAATATTGTTGGGAAATTATCTAATTATCAAATTACAACTAATCTTTTTTTAATTCCCACCATACCGTCCACGTCAGCTAAGGAAAAAAAATCGGTTTTTTTTTTTTATCGGTCCAGCAACAAACCGCTACTTGAAGTAGCGATGTTATAGGAATAAACCGCTACTTCAAATAGCGGTTTCAATTTCGTAAACCGCTACTTCAAGTAGCGGTTTATCTCGAAACACTGCTACTCCAAGTAGCGGTTTCCTGCTATAATGTAAAAAAAAAAAAAAAAATTCTTTCACGTTTTGTGGCGGTTTCCACGAAACCCTTAATTACAATAACAACACAAGTTTCTCAACCACCAAATTTGCACAGCTGGTACTCTATCAATTGCTATAACAACTGAACAAGATTATTATCAATTCCCTCCAAATAATATTCTCAGACTACACAAGATAATCACATAAATTATGATATAGCCAGTAAAATTCTGACAAAACCCAGATCAAATTGCACAAAACCAGCAAAACCCAGATCAATTATAGACAAAACCTAGATCACAAACTCAAAAATTAAGATGAGCTACAAGTCTATGAATGAAATTGAGAAAACCCCAGATCAAGAACAGACTTTTGAAGCAAACCCAGTTGATAATTCTCTAAAAATGACCAATTTAATTCAGCAACTTCCAAATATTCCAATAGTATCTGAATTCAAACCTCAACTGTGCATCACAATTTTGAATGTAAATGAATGAGAAAAAAGAAAAAAACGAAGAATTTTGATACCCACACAAATTCCTGCTATAACATGAGAGAGAACAAATATACGAAGTACTTTATATGAATGCTTTTTTTTTTTTTAAATTGGTCGTATTATTTTGATACCCACAAAACCGCCACTTGAAGTGGCGGTTTATTAAGATGAAAACCGCTACTTCAAGTAGCGATTTTCTGTAAAAACCGTAAAAATAAAAAACTCGCTCGAATCGGTGACGTGGACGGTAATATGGAAATTAAATAAAAAGAGACGGTATATATGGAATTGAGTCTTTTTTCAACAATATTTTGGGAAAGGACTCTTGAACTTAATTAAGTATACACAGTTCAACTCATGAAAATTGTATAATACACTAGGGTGCACCATGCTCATAGTGCACCTGGTGATGTGGCATAACTAATTAACATTAAATTAGTGAAAAATTAAAAAAAAAAATTAGTGGAAAATACTAAAAAAAAATCTGGGCGAAATTATGGGGAATTATTCCCTTTAAACTGCTTTCAGTTTTAAATTATTATCCTTAATGGATATTTTCCATTTTAAAAATATTTTTAACATTTTTGGGTTTCAATAATACAAAGTATGTTCTTTGAATTTGGCTCGTATTTTCTTTGAGGTAACGAGTGACGCACAAATTCTTTTTTGAATTATCATATATCATTATTTTTTATTGTCGTATGTTCTTTGAGTTTGATCAGTGTGTTTTTCGGGTATGAATTATATGTTCTTTGCATTATATTTTATGCTCTTTTAACATATGTATGTTATTTTGAATTTTAAAATTTAATTTGAAAATGAAATCTTTGTTTTTTCTTAGTTAAAAATATTTTAGAGAGAGAAAACTTAAATATTATGGAAAGTTAATTTTTGGAGAGAGAAAAAACAATTTTTGGAGAAATGATATCTTTGGTAAAGTTTTTTTTCCGTTAATGTGTAATTTTTCATAAAATTTTAATAAAGTTTTTATCACGTTTTTTTTGTAATGTCTTTATGTTCTTTAATAATGCATATTCTTTGTTAAACACAAACATGTTCTTTTTCAAAAACCTACATGTTCTTTTTCAAACAGTTAAATGTTCTTTCCGCCTTTTTTTATTTAACCAGGTGCACCATGTGCATGGTGCACCCGGGTGCACAGATCATGCATTGTTCAACTCATATGGTCATAATCAGGAAATGTTTAAGCTTAAACATGTTCGAAGTACATCTTAGGATTATTAAAAAAAAAAAAAAAAAAGTTAATGATAAAAATTAAATAATAAAAAAAAATCATTCAACAATAATCAGATCTACTATATAAGAGAGAGAAAACGAATTTCACCTCAACAACGCAAGTTTAACCGAGGAAGATAGAGAAAGGAAAACTATAAGGAAGAAGGAGAAAGTGAAAAGGTTAGGGTTTCCAGACTGCTTTATATAAGGAGAAGATTAACTCCCAAATAATATGTTTTATACTCTATCACACCCCCTAATATGAGAGCTCTTTGGGCTTGAAACGTGAATGTAGGATGTGCACTCCAAATACCCTAATCCGATACCATGTTAAAGGACCAACTCAACCAAAAGTTTAAGTTGGTGGTTAAGGTTTAGGAATATGTTTTATACACTATCAGTGTTTCACTGTAAAAGGTTATGACCTTTCTGTTTCATTTTATATCATTTAAGAGTACAACTTGTCCTCCTAAATTCAATTTTGTATGTTGAAAATAATTATAAAATTTTCTATATATCCGCCCAAAATAGTCCTACGTGACCGGTCACCTGTAAAACAGGTAATTTAAAAAAAAAATCAATCAATATTAGGAAAAATTGCTATGAATAATCACAACTTTTGGCGGAAATCAGGAGTATCTTCGAAGGTGCCAATGGCATTGACTAGGCGGTAGAAGGTGGCGATGACGGTGTTGGTTTGGAAAATACAGCCGGCGCAAGGGGAGGGCATCTGGGCGGCAGCTGGAGGCTAGGGGTTGGGCTGGGCTATGTGGCAGTGGGGGTGGCTGGGTTGAAGGCGGGTGGTTTTTATTTTTCAATTTTTTTTTAGATTTTTTTTTTTGATTTTTATTAACCAATCGTAGGATGACATGTCCGGTAACTTGTAATAACAAGTTGCATGACCGGTTGAGACTGTTTCGGGCGGATGAAGTATAAAGTTGGAATTATTAAAAAAAATCGAAAGTTGGGATTATTTTGGGCGGACAGAGCAAAGGGTATTTATAAGTTTACAACACAAAATATAATAATCATAGTACTTGTATTACGAAGTACTTATTAATTGACCGACTAACAGACTTAACACCCTCTAAGACAAAAAACGCTATCAATTATATCACCATCCACAAGCTGCTCCTCCTCCACTGTTTTTGCAGGTGAAAGTGGGCGACCAGCGAACATAAATCGAATTCTACGCCCTGCCTCTGCATCCGGCGGTGTTAATATATCCATCATCTTACCTATACGAGTATTCTGAGAGACTCTGAATAGTGTTTCATTGCCCGATACACATTTCACTCTAAGAATTATATGTGGACCAATTACACTCAAGGAAGAATCTGAACAAAGACGGAAGATCGTTCAATGTAAAAAAAAATACATAGTACCAAATTACCAAAATTTCTAGATTACATGCCTTACAGAAGTCATGAATCTAGGACGTAGAAAGTTCTCTTTCAAAGGAAGTGTTTGGGTCCAATTTAGTCCAATTGGGCCTAAGCACTAAATGATCCAATTAAAAGCCCAAGGTCAAGGTTCAACTCTCCAATTGTGCTAAATTCAAAGGTCAGCCCACAAAGCAAGCCAATTGGGCTAAGGCCCAACCTCTCCATGTATGATGAGGTATAAAAGTCATCATATTGATTCATTCATGGAGGGATTCTGATTCATTCATAGATTCATATGTTCATTCATATATTCTGATATATTCCATAAAAAGCCTCAAGCAACAAACTCTCTTGCATAGTGTCCTCTTCTTACACATTGTACTGACTTTAGCATCGGAGGGGCCTTCCTCGGCAACACCCCCGAGGCTAGTTTACGTGTGTTTACTGTGCAGGAAACCTTGGGCCCAACATAACTTGGACCGAATCCAGCCTTCCCCATTTCAGCGGACCTTCGGCAAGGTCCCATTGTTTTCACCCGAAACAGGAAGTAAACAGGAATGCTACATAATACATGAAACTGGAATTGAACTTACTCATTGTGATGAAATTGAAGCCGTCAATGATGTCACCATCTTCCATGTTTAGTGCATCAGCTACATGATTCCCATCCAACTGCAATCCACCGTACACAAAGTGTAGATAGCCTTGTTCTCGAGGTCCGATGTTAGGAAAACATGGGATCAGCTGAGGCAGTATTGCTGTATAGCGCCTCACTCTAACAAACATGTCTCTCTCCTTGTGCATGCGGATGCATAGAGTTACATTATGCACATCACGGTAACCTAAACCGCCTTAAATGCGTGATAAAATGTAGGCAAATGAGAGAAAATCAAGGACACAAGTTATAAGAGAAGTGTTGTGAAGATGAAGATCGATACATCAATGACAAATTCAACAAGAACTCAAAGTACATAAGTTATTACTTTCTCTGTCACTTTTTTAAATTTAACATTTGGAATCTTTTTGTAGGAGAAAAATGGTCAAAGCGTAAAGATTAAAAAGTGACGAAAGGAATATCACATCAATTATGTCATTAACAGCACCCAAAGTCTCGTTGTATTATTAATAATTGTCATTTTTTAATACCATAAAACAAAATCAGTAGCTTCCTATATTTAGTGCGCATGACCATAAAATATTGAATAACAATACATAGATACAACAACTTTCCATATTTTAACCATTAAATCAAATGGATCCAAATCAAATGGATCCTCTACATACACGCTCGCGCATGCACATGCATGACACACACTTGTGACATATTTTTGTTATTTATTTATTTTCTGTAGAAAATAATTTCCCAAAAAAACCCAAATATTTCCCAATAGTTCTTAATATAATAGCTACTTTACCCAAAATTTTAAATTACAAAAAGTGCTAATACCAATTTACCATATGCAGTTATGCACTAATCACATACCACTGTATCTTTGTACAATCCGTCTTGATAACAATTTAGATCAAATTTCTCTTCTTAACTCAAGATAGTTAATCAACTGATTAAAACAAATAAATACAAAATACCAAATTCTGTCTATGAAATCAAATCAAAACATATAAAAGGGTGAAAAGAACGAAGCAAACCTAGAACAGGATATGCAACGATAACATCATCATGAACCATGCCAATTTGTTGGGGAGTATCCATTTCCCTTAACTTTACAGCATTGAACTCAAACCGAGTGGTTTGAAAATCCAAGCTCAATCCAAGACAGTACCTAAGCATTAACCACCGAAGCGGAACATCAGTCTCAATCTTGAAGGTAACCCCTGCTTCTTCTTCCACCCTCCGTTTATCGAATTCGACTTTTTGACCACCTTCACCATAATTTTATTGGTTTCTAGGGGCCCTGTATTGCGTTCTTCCTCTTTGATCAGATCAATCGGAATCGTAGGGTTATATCTCCTTTTCATGGTTCTCCCTTCAAAATTTTAAGAATCATTTACATAAGCTGATATACGCATATCATTCATAATTATAATTAATCATAACTTAAACTTGTAAATGTAGATCAAACTCGTAATCTGGAGTGATTTTAATTTCGTAAAATCTACCCGTCAACTTAAACATGTATAATCAACAAACAAAAAAAAAAAAAAAAAAAAACGGAGTAACATTAAAAATCCATTTAACCTACGTGATACAATTTGATTGCTAATGTGTAACTTTGATCCTAATATCCCTATTTAGTAATTACTTCTTATATACTAAAGGCTTTTTTTTCACCAATAGTATTTTTTCTGAAACTATTTTATTTTTGTTAAAATTAAATTATTGGTAATAAATTTAAATTAATTTTATCTACTTGTTCAATTCAAAAAAAGACACTTAAAGCTTCTAATGATTAAAATTATAATAATTAAACTTATTTAACTGTCAAAATAAAAATATTTGAACTAATCTAATACCCTTTTATTCATTTTTATTTGTTATATTTTGACTTTTACAATATTAGTTAAACTGTTTGAAGCCTAAATTACTCACATAAAATTATCATACTCGTTTACAAATTAAATGAACTTAAACATGTAGATTTTGGTAGAAAAAATGTGAAAAAAAGATTTAAAATTTGTACCTGAAAAAACTATTAAACATGCAAATTTTAACACATAATTGCAGATTAATCATTTAGATAACAATTTATAAATTGTAAGACAGAAGATCGAATTTTACCTAACAAATAGTAATTTTACCGATGAGAAAATCCTCTAGAAATCGAAATTTCCAACTTTTAGAGAAAGAAAGGAGAAAAAGTGAGAAAGGAAAGTTGAGAATGAGAAAGGAAGCAAAGAAGCCAACCACAGCCTATCCTATACCAATTTGGTTGAATTTTCTTATACCAAATTGGTTATGGCTTCAATTTTTTTATAACAAGCCATTACTACACCACAGCCCTTCAATTTATGTAAACTAATTTTTTTATACCAATTTGGTGTTTTTATACCATTCTCCTTTTTTTTATACCAATTTGCAATTATTATATACTTGTATTTTTGTATACCAAATTGTTTATGCCCTATAGTTTTTTAAAGCCAATTTGGCTATCTATTACTTATTAGCCATTGTAAAGTCGTCTGATTGTTATACAACCTATTCACTTCTAAATCATCATACTACCTTTGTACGGAGTATCACAATAGACGAAGTACATTTAATCTTTTTTTCTTTGTTAAAACACAAATTTGACCATTCATTTTGCAAATTCATTATTAAATTATAAAGGTGAAAAATATATTTGAAGGAAAATCCAACAATATTTTACATAACTAAATTCTTATACAAGTGAAAATGTACTCAAAGTTATTAAATCAATAGTGTAAAAAGTTAAGGGGGATTTTTCTATGTGGCCAGGGTTACTCGATTTACGGATTACTCGAGTTACATTTGACCGAGTAACCCCTCAAGTAAACCCTGATCGAGTAACCCTTGACCGAACCTTTCAAGTAACCCCTGACCGAGTAATCCCTAACCGAGTAACCCCTCAAATAACCCCCCTGACTGAACCCCTCAAATAACCCCCTAACCGAATCTCTCAAGTAACTCCTAACCAAGTAACTCGAGTAACACCAGCCACACGGTATAGCTGACAGCCACGTATAAATATTTGCCGAAGTCAAAGCAGTTGTTAAGGTGAGATTTGAGCCTAGATTTATTTAGGGAAGTTCTGCAATTTTTTGAAACATTCCAAAGTAGCATGTTACGATTTTTGTGAAAACGTCAATTTGAGTATTATTTTACAGAGATTAAATTTATCTATTTCAAGAGTACATAACATACCTAATTCATAACTTAAACTAATTTTGTCATAATTTTAAAACCATATTAGCAAATCAATGTGAAAGTAGATGTTAAGCTCACTCCATTGCAAAATCAACAGTTTGTGGATGTTAAGCTCGCTCACTCCATTGAAAAATCAACCTTTAATATAGGCATAGATTTCGTCACCATCATCCAGTCGTTCTTCCGCCACTGTCTTTGAGCCTGTAAGTCTGCGGCCCTCATGAAAGAATGCAACATTATCCAATTCCAGTCATTTAACTTTACAGTATGTTGAATTGACCACCTTATATTTTGATGATTGACCTACATAAAACAAACTTTGACTAACGACGTTTATGAGTCTTGGTTAAAACAGAAGATTCGGGTTTGAAGTTAAATGTTCCGGAGTAGGAACAACAGAGTTTGGAAGACTTGATGATGAATGCAAGCTTTCAAGATGTCCTCACAACTCTATATTCTTAGTTACTCAGTGTACGAACTTAAGAAACAAAAGTGTTGGAAGGAATTAAGAAGAAACTCGAAGTTTCTGAAGGAACCTGAAGGAACTTGACGAATGACTCGGAAAGTTTTAAACGAAAGTTTTAAAACGGTTTTCAAAACCCTTAATATAAGGAAGTGATAAAAATCAGTTTTGAAAAAGATTTAAAAAGATTTTATAAATAAATAATTCATTAATTTAAAAAGATAAGTTTTAAATTAATTAATTATTTATGTTTTAATTAATAAATAAATAATTATCTTTTTTTAATAAATAATAATTATCTTTTGAATAAGTCTTTAACTGATTTTTAACTTAGTAAATATTTGCAGCTTAAATTAAGGAGCACGTTGAATTTAGGAGTCAAGCTAGGGAAATCATGTTCCTAAATTTCCTCTGCCTACATCCCAACTTCTCAGTCAAAGAGAACGTGGGATTAAGGGGGAAGTGGGAACTTGATGGAAGCTTGGTTTAACTCCTTATAAAAACATATCAACGTTAAGTTTTGAAAGCGTGGAAAAACAATCTTAAGTATTCTGAGCATAGAGTTTCAAAGTGTTTAAAAGAGAAGTTCCTTCCATCCTTAGTCTCTTAAGTTTTTTAGGAAATACTTGTAATCATTGTGTAATTGGGTTTGGGTTGTGAGAGTTGTAAAGTGTGAGACTTGAGAGAGTTGTTTATACTGTACAAGTGATTCGGAGTAGAATCACAAAGTGTGAGAAACTGTGATTGAGGGATCACAGTTGGGTAACTTGAGTTCCTCACGGAACTTGAGTCTAGGCAACGTATTAGTGATTGTAAATCATTTTTACATAGTGAATTTATTCATTGCCTATCTCAGTGTCTTTTCTCTTAGTAGTAGATTTAATTCCGCAAAATTTACCATAGTCTACATACACTACAATTCACCCCCCCCCCCCTCTTGTAGTATACATTGTTCTATCACAGTATTTATTCATCAGCTGATTCATTCGAACACTCCATCTGAGGGCGAACTGAACGTCCTTGTTAGTCTCATGATTTATCACGGTTAAGAGTAAGCCGTGATGTAACTATGCTCAGTGAAGAACCTGAACAGGAAAAATAATAACATTACTGCAAACTTTATTTAACTAATTATATCTCTGTATAACTTAATCTTCAGGAAATGGTATGAGAAACACTCCATTAATTATTCGTTTAATTCACCAAGTTAAACTGGGGTAAACTGTTTCTCATTGTGAGAAACAAGTTTTGTTTCTCATGGGGTATGTGTCAAGATATGGGGCTCCCACTCATGACACATACGCGGTCCTCACCAATGAAAAACATCACATTATTTTCCAAAATGCTATTATGAGAAACAGTTAATGAGGAATTGGGGCTCCCTCGTAAAACTGATATCACAGCATAACTTTGTATATAAAGTTACAACCGTTACACGTTTAGCAATAAAGGATTTTAGTACCGTATAAAATTATTTCAAAAACTTTGTGCACCAATATTTATAATAATATTAGTGTACATCGAACAATTTCAAATAGCATTACAACTGGTACTATTTTAAAGTATATAGACAAGTATTTCTCCATATAAGTAATAAATAAAGTAGAAGATCAAAATCTCAACTTTGTTCCAAAAATTAGACAAGTATAAATGTATAATTAAGCAAGATACTTACTGCTCTCATCAAAATTAAAGGCATCAATGATGTCGCCATCCTCAATATCTAGCTCGTCAGCAGTGATAGAAAATATAGATAAATATATATATTTTTAGTTGTATATATTGATCGTGGTACACACTCCAATTTAAGGAGTTCCAACATATAAAATAACGAGAAATTCCAAGGAGAAACAAACTATGTTTCTCAAATGCCAAAGACGTAAATAAAAGCACTTTTTTTATTATTAATCGGCAAAACCACTACTTGCATAAACCGTTGTTCCTGTAATTTTACAAATTTAACCTCTTGAGAAACAAATTTTATTTCTCATGTACTGGGGCGGCCTCTAACATTGAACATTATGATACAAACCCTAAATTTTGGTATAAAAAATTAAAATTTTGCTTTTGGTTTGAATTCATCAAGAAACCCTAAAACCCCAATAACAAAATAAAAATAAAAAAAAAATTCCAATTCTAATCAAAGAACGAACCCCAAAAATAACCAAATATAACATAAAAAAAATTTAAAAAAAAAACTTACATATATAATGATAAGCTTGAATGAGATCACAAGGAAGCATGGAAAGTTGAAGAGGAGTATCAGTTTCTCTTAAACGAGCCCCCTTAAATTCGAAACGAGTGGTGCAATACTTAACACCAATTTTGTCACAATACCTAATCATAAGCCATCTTAAAGGCATATCATTATTTATATTCAAGTATACTTCTTCCACTTCCCTTTCCTTTTCCTTTTGATGTTCTCCATCTTCTTCTTCGCCATCGCTATCGTTGCCATTAACCCCACTTCACTCTTAGGGGGTGTTTGGTATGGTTTTTTTATAGGGCTGGAAACTGAATCGGGTTACCGTTTTCGTTAGAACATGTTTGGTTAATAAGTTAAGTAACGAAAACCGTTTCTTTCCTCTAACACATTCCCCCACTTTGTTTCCAGTGTAAAACTTGGGGAAACAAATCCCGTGTCTTTCCTCCAACCCAAAAAAACAACTCTGCCTCATCTCTCTCCTCTCATACGACAGATCTCCAAAAAAAAATTCCAACTTTGATCGATTGAAGCTACAGATTTCGCTCAAGTTGTTAAATTTTCCTATCTCAAATGTCCAAAAATCCACAATTTCAATCATCACAAGCTTGTTATCTTTCAATTTTTTGTTTAAGAACCCTAGATTTTGAGTTTATGTTGAATTTATATTTATTTTTTTGTTTTATTGATTGTATTTTGATTTTTCTACCTCGAAATATTGCTATTTTATTTGATTTTTCAATCTAATTTTTCTGTTTTATTTGAGTTTTACTTTTCTCAATTGAATTTACTGGTTTTGCTTCATGAAATTTTTGCTAATATGCTTGAATCTTTATGCTTCCAACGTTTATCCAATTTCCAGGTATTCTCTTTTAATAATGAACAAAATTTTGTAATTAGTCTTGTAACATTATAGTATATAGTTTAATGATATCGTTTTATATGATTATAAGTGAAATGCAAATTGATTGCTTACATTATACACTAATCTCTACATGTTTGATCTTTCCTTGATTTAGAAATTATTTCTGGGTGCTCATAACGTGTTTGATAAAAAGCCTAGTTGAAATTAATCGTTTACGTTTCCTTAGTGATACCAAACAACGAGTAAGAGTAACACTAAATAATACCCTTTCCCTCCCTAATCGGTTTCCATTCCGTTACCTTTATTAATTTGATACCAAACACCCCCTTAAGGTTATTTTCTGGGTTTCTTCTTTTTCTTCTTCTACATTCCGTAGAATTGCTCCTGATTCCGCACTCCCCATTTTCGATTAAAGCTGTTGATTTTCTGTTTCTTTGGTGTTCACCTCGCCAAATTTTATAGTTATAGCTGTATAAGAGCGAGCCCTGGCCCAATTTTCCCGTTTGAATAAATCATCGACCAGAGTCCAATGATAACCTAGTCAATCTCGGATATTAGG